TGATCCATTTTAAGCCTTTATTAAGGGGTTTATAGTTTATTACTAATCTTGGAGCTCCTCTTTCTTGCTCCGAAGCTTTATTTATATAAAACCTTGTACAACTCCAAGGTGATTTTGAGGGTCTAATTAGACCTTTTTCTAAGTATTCTTGTAGTTCTTATTTGCAAAATTTTAGTTGCTCTTCATTCATTTGTATGGGTCTAGCTTTTGTGGGTATATTTGTTTCATTAAATCCTTCTTCATATGGTAATTCTATTTCATATTTCTTTCTATGGTGAAAGGCTATAGAGTTTAAATTATAGATTTCTTTAGTAATTTTTTTTTCAAACTCTTATATAATTTTATTTTTATTTTTTCACTTCTTAATTGTTCTTCAATTCTTTTATATTTTATTTCTTTATTTATAAAGTTAATTTATTGTTGTTTTCTTTCTATTAAATTTATTTTAGTTATTGAAGCCTCTTGTACTAAGTTTAGTTCTCTAATTTTTGGTAGTTGTAAAAATTCAAATTTTTTTCTCTATCTGGTATGACTTTACTAATAATTCCCGTATTACTAATTTCACAAGGATACAATAATGTTAAGAAAGGAGTACCTAGAATTATTTTGTTCCCTATATTTTTTACTAATATGAATGATGTAGTAAAACATATTTCATTTTTACAAATCTTTCCTTTTGAGAGCTTATAATTTATATTAAATTTGTTTCCTCCAGCTGCTGATAATTGTTCTGTAGTTTTTTCATAATATTTTGTAAGTATTACTCCTTCTTGTATACAGTTAACGTCTGCTCCTGAATCTATTAATGCTATTAAATTAAATTTTTTTTATTCTACTATTAATGTAATTTCACACCACCATTTGTGTGAAGTTATTAATGTTAACAATTCTAGATTAAATATATGTTGTTGATCCTTTGTTCCTTATGTGCTAGTTGAATTTTCTTGTGATCTTAAAATTTCTTTTCGTTCTAAAAATAACAATTTAATTTCTAAATTCTTTTGATATTCTTTTAATTCTTTTATTTTTGTTTTTAAATTTACTATTTCTTTTCGTAAATCTTTTTATCGTTGTTTATGGTTTAGGATTTAGGTAGATTTACTATCTTTGTCTAAGTAGATTTTTTTTTTTCAAAATTAATTACCAATTCAGAGTTATTTTAAAACATATTATCCGTGTAGGATTTTTTTACACGAAGCACAAGTATCGTCGTATTTGAGAACAATACCTAATTTTTTTTTGAAGATACTCTTTGAACTTGGAATATGTCATCCAAAGATAAAGTGTAGCTTTTGCAGGAAAACGATACTCTCTAAAGCATAATTTTTAAATTTTTTATTAATAAATAATTTTTTAAATATAGATTAATTATCATAAGTTGTTAAACTTGGATTAATTGAAATAATAAATATTGAATATAATAAGCTATCAACAAGACGAAGCTACCCGCGTTCAGACGATCACTCTTTGGAGGAGATGGAGCTGCCTTGGCTTCCCTTGATTTGGTCAATCTGTTTTTTGTATTTTATTTTATTTTTTTCAAAAGGAGCTATACGTATCATTGGTAGATGCTGGTTTAACCTCAACTAGTAAATGTTTGATACTGTTTATCAGAATTTAAGAGCTAATTTGACTTGATCCGATAAATGTTTGATAAACGATCACAAAATAAAAGGAATCATTAATATGTTGCACATTGGAATTGTTAGATATGTAACTTTTAAATGATAAATGATTACCTAAGTTTGAGTGATTTTGGTTATAAGTCATGTGTTTGATTTTGTTTCATCGCGGCAAAGGTTGAACAGAACAGATACTGATCCACTGTGAAGCCCAGATGCTTAGTACGACAAGACGGGTATACGGAAGATGAGACCCACACGAGTGTTGAAAATTCAAGACACGATAACTGTATAAACATTATCATGAATTCAGAAAAACAACATATTTTATTCAAAACCAAAATATTTTCAACCATGAACAACCTAAACCCTAATCAATCTTCTTCCTCTGATATATTTCCATTTCTTTTAAACTCTCCAATGTCCCTACATAAATCTTATATTAAGATGGAACAACCATGCATTTTTTTTCAGCTTGTAGTGACCATTCCTTGGAAAGGTGTAACTTTTCTTGGTTAGTTATGGAGGATTTTTTGGGTGGTGAAGGAGAATTATCTGAGGATGAATTTAACTGTCTAGTTTCAAGAGTGGTGTTTGATGAAGAGATACTTTCAAGAGTTGTGTTTGATGAAGAGATACTCATTTTTCCTTTTCCTTTTGAGGTTTTTAGTGGTTGGACTAGTTTAGGTTTATAAGCTGATGGTAATGAATATGAAGGTGTTGTACATGTTTCTCTGGAATAAAAAGAAGATGGATTAAAAGGAGAATAATAACTAGTAGATGCTGGTAGAGGAATAAAGAAAGGATTGTTCTCAGGTTCTTTGTATTGTTGTCTAGCTGCAATTATATCATCCATTTCTTGAATCTGGGCTTTTAACCTTCTGATTTCTTTATCCTTCTTGTTATATTCTCCTGTGAAGATTGCTCATATTTTGTATTGCAACTTCAAGACCAAGTTCTGCAATTTTCTGTTGAGATTTTTTGTGGTGTTTCCTCAGTTTTTCAGATAGGTACTAGAGTCTTTCATCTGTCTTGTTGATGGAATCAACAATCTGGTTGATCTTCCCATCTATTTTCTTTAAAAACTTGTTTTGAGCTAGAGAGTTCTCAATCTGCCAATTCAGAACTTCTTCAGCTTGAGATAGAGATTTCAGTTTTTTGTTTGGTTGAACTTCAGTTGGAATTACTAAAGGTTTTGGGTTAACCTTAGTAAAAAGGTCTACTCTTCTTCCTAAAGAAGGAAAATCTTCATCATATTCGATAAACATCATGCATGGGACAGGTTCTAGTGATGGAGTGGTAAAGGAATTGCATAGTTCTAGTGGTGGAGGCCAAGTAATCAAATATGGATTATCTAGAAGTTTTGATAAGAGTCCTTTTTCTCTTAGTATCCTAAGAGCCTTATAATATATTGGTAAAGGTTCTCTCTTTTTTTTTATCGCTATCCAAGAAGTAAATCCTGGGTTCCTTTTTCTTAGCTTAGGAGGTGATTTGCAAGGTTTCTTTTTCTTTTTCCCAGGATCGATTTCATCATCATCTTTTGACACCCCATCAGAGGTATCTCTAGAATGCATCCAACAATCACATCTAAGGTCACACATGAAGGAATCTGTATCCCACATAAAATGGCCGTCAAACTTATCAGAAAATATAGTTGGGCCATCAGCTCTGAAGTTATAAATGGCAATTCCATCCTTTTCTTCTGCTGGAGTAATCATCATGGATTAAAAACAGTTGGTTAGTTGGCTAGATTCTGCATCTGGCCTTTTGAAGATCATTCTTACTGCTCCATCTATTGATCTTCTAAAGGTAACTTCAAAGGAATGAACTGACTTACTGTTCAAATGGATTTTTTCATAATTTGTTGCCCATTCTAAGGAAATCATTTTGATCAATTCATCCCTAAAGATCTGTCTTAAGACTTGAATGATAGAAGAGACATCATCTTCATCCTTGTTGGCTATCACGAACAAATTGTCATTTGCTCCTCCAAGCATAGGCAGATCATAGGCATGATTCTGTAATCTGTAAATTATTTGATGATGAAAGGTGGCAGATAGAACTCCTTCTACCTGCTCTGCTCCTGTAATTTGTATTTAAACCTTAAGTTTGGTGGGTAAGGTTTTGTCTTTGAGAGAAGACTATACTTCTAGCATGTAAGGTAGTCAAAGTGGCTATGACAACATGCTCATAATGGATGTAAGAAATGTCTGAAAGAGCTATTCTTGTAGTGACTAGGACGTTTTTCCTACCATGAAAAGATAGGACCAACCTAACTGCTCCAAAGTGTGAGGATGTGTATCCTTCATGCCTTCATGATTCAATGAACATTTTTGGAATCTCTAGGTCTATATACTATTCTTGTGATGTTGCTTTGAGCTCACAGTGGTCCATCTGTAATGACTAGACATATTCTTTGATAGGAGACTACTTTCTCAAGATCATTGTATTTACTTTGTTGGCAAAAGATCTCTTTCTTCTAAAGACATTATAAGGGCTTAACATAGGGGTGATAGATTCTGATAACTTTGCATCATCTAGAAGATAAGTGTATTCTATGAGATTTTCTATCTTATTGGCTGCTATCTTAATACAAGATTTAGGTAGGGACATTGGAGAGTTGAAAAGAACCGAAGATATATCAGAGGAAGAAGGTTCATCAGTGTTTAGTTGTTCATGATTTGATGATTCTTACTAACTTTATATATGCTGACTATCACACTTATCTCTCTTTTCAACAGAGACTTCTGATACCAAAAACTGGCCAGGAGCCTTCCTATCATAATCATATGCATTTTTCTCAGAGACAGGATTAATAAATCTACCATAATCACAATAGAAAGGACCGTAGCATTTGGTAAAGTCAGAAGTGTTCTTAACCGCTACTTGCTAGTCATCTGCGTGTGAAAGCTTTAATCACTATAACAAAGGTCTACAATTTTGTGTAAGATATTGTGTGCAAAAGCTTTGAAACTTACTGGATGAGTGATGATGCTGCTCAAAGACTCTATCTCAAGTGTTGAACAATCATGGAATTGAAACTTACTGTTTCAATATTAACTAAGTTAAATATATCGTATCTACTAACTGAAAGCCGTACTCAAATGTATTGAGTGGTATCGAGGCAAGAATTTAGTTTTCAAAATAAAATAAAAAAATGGATTCTTTTTAGATACTTAGCTGGATACTGCAACAATTCTTTTGTATATGTTTACAAAAATGAGAGCCAATGAAAAAAACTTTGCTCCTGATACATACATATCCTATCTTATTTCTATTCTCTGTCTATCCTTCACCAATAGTCTAACTTGAATGAAGCAATGAAAAGGGGAAGTTAGTTATCAATTCATCATCGTCAATTTCTTGTCACATTAACAGAATGCAGAAGATAATCAGTATTTTGAGGGAGTGACTCCATCACTTGAGTTTGTCATAACTTCTAAGGACATAACAGATACTGGTGCTCCAGCCACATTACTAGTTTTCAACAATGAAAAGGGTTTCTCTCCTGAAAACATTGGATCTATCTGCGGTGTCGGACGGTCCACAAAGAAAGGCAACAGAAGCAGCGGTTACATAGGGGAGAAAGGTACATTTACTCTCTTAAATGTCTCAACAAAAGGTTTTTGTAACTTTGTTTCATGAAGTACTGACATTTACATGCTTGCTTTCAATGAACATTAATTGAATAATTTGAATGGTATTTAAATGTACATACATGCTTGCTTATAACTAGCCTGAATCAATTCAATGTCTAGTAATTTTCATTTGTGAAAAGAATGCCTGTAATTGTCATACCAAAGAAAAGAGGCTAATATCACAATGGTTTAGCAAATGACCCTGTTTCTTATGCAAAATATAGTTCTTAAAATTTCAAAAACAGTTACTATTCAATAAACAGTTCTGCATATTTTGAAAGTCCATGTTTACAAAATAGGATGATTAATATAAGAAAAATATTAACTACAAACTTTCTATCTACTCTTCATTATTGGTTAAAATTTATTAGAAATCATTAAAATCACTCCTAATTTAATGATTTTTACTCATACTTCTGCATTTTTCAATAAATTTCAGCCAATAACTGAGAGTGCCTGTTAGTAAGAGTGTGTTCTTAGTGTTAACGTGAGAATCCATTATTCCCTATTTTATGTTGTAATAGTTAGGAGTATAATCAGCCCCCAATTAAATGTATATATTTAGAATTCCTAAAATAGTTTGTACAAATCAAGAATTAGAATCATAAGCTGTAAATTAGAATTAACGGCTTTAAATCAGCTTTGTAATATTTAAGAGAAATACAATGAAAGAAGGTATCAAGCCAAAGTTATTCGACACTTAGCACTCTTCTTAATATAATGCAAAAGGGTTCTGAATCAAGGGGTAAAATATTATCCATTAAAGTATCTATATGAAATGAAAAGATGCAAATGTTTGACGAATAATCTCCTATGGTTGAATTGCAGGAATTGGTTTCAAGAGTGTATTTCTGCTCACTGCTCAGCCCTATATATTTAGCAGTGGATATCAAATACGATTCAATGAGAAGCCTTGTCCACATTGTGATATTGGATATATAGTTCCTGAATGGGTTGAAAAACCAACCGTACATGACATAAAGCAGATATATGGTGCTAGTGATGATTCCCTTCCAACCACTACATTTATCTTACCTCTAAAGCCAGATAAGGTCAAACCTGTGAAACAACAGCTATCAAATATTCATCCAGAAGTTCTGTTGTTTCTTTCAAAGATCAGAAGCCTTTCTGTCAGAGAAGATAATGAGGATCCTAACCAGATTACTGTGAGTGCTGTATCTATTTCAAGTGAGATTAACTTCTGCACTAGGAAAAACATGAATGCTGAGTCTTACACACTCCATCTCTCTGCGGAGGAAAACGGTGATTCTGAAAAGGAATGCAGCTATTATATGTGGAAACAGAAGTTTCCAGTCAGGTTGGAGAATGTGGTGGAAAGGAGAATGGATGTGGAGGAAGTGGTTGTAACATTAGCCTTCCCAAATCAGGAGAGGCTTCATAGAGGAATGAGCTCACCTGGGGTCTACGCATTTCTTCCTACAGAGATGATCACTAACTTCCCCTTCATAATTCAAGCAGATTTTGTCCTAGCTTCATCAAGGGAGACAATTCTCTTGGACAATACATGGAACCAAGGGATACTAGAATGCATTCCATCAGCTTTTATGGATGCATTTGAAACACTTGTCATTGAATCATATGAAGCTCCAGTATCCAGTTTGCCTCCTCAGTTCAGGTTCCTTCCTATTAATAGTTCTCCCTTTGAGAAGTTAAATTATGTTAGGGACAAAATCAAAGCTAAACTTCTTGAGAAAAATATTATTCCTATTGAGACATACAAGGAGCAGAAGCACTTCTGCAAGCCTTGTGAAGTTGGCAGGCTACTGCCTGAATTCTGGAATATTTTGTCCAGCGCTCGGGAGGAAGGAGTATACTTGCATAAACTCTCATCTCTTGATGATGGAAGGAAAATCTTGAGTTCTTCATTTGATAAAAGTGAGTATGATCACATTCTCAATTTTTTGGGGGTGCAGCAGGTCAACATTGATTGGTATGCTAAGTGCATCCAGAGTTCTAATCTCGTGGATGGAGTATCAGAAACTGTTTATCTGAAGCTTCTATTGTTTGTTGCTACAAGCTGGTTTTCAAAGTTCAAGGGGTCAAACATGATTCACATTCCATTGATTAAATACATGGGTTCTGATGGGAATCTGTCCCATTTCACCCTTTCTGAGTGCAGACAGCGCTATGGTGCCAAGCAAGTAGTCCTTGCAGATCCAAGTCAATCCTGTCCCTTCTCTTGGATGATTGACTGGAACAAGGAATTTTCATGTGCAGTCAACCAATATTTTATGCCAGAAATCACACAACAAGCTATATTGCACTTTCCCCAGAAGCAGACTTTGTTGGAATGGCTACAAAATGAGGTTCATTTCACTACTTTGAATGTATACAGTTTTGCAGAAATCCTTTGCATTTCAGTTAATAAAAGCTGCAAGCATGCCATTACATATGCTCATTTCTTGTATCACTCTTTTTCAAAGAAGTATTTAACAAGTCGAGAAGTTCATGCATTGTGCAGTTCAATGCCACTTGTGGACAACTATGGATGTGTGATTCAATGCAGAAAAGGAGTTCTTGTACCTGCAAATGTAAGCAAATGGGCTGACTTGATTGTTTCCAATCCATGGAGAAATGAAGATTATGTTGAGCTAGGAAAGGAGTACTTGCGTCCATCTCAATATGCGCAGCAATATACAGGTTCCGAGGAGCTGATAGAATTCCTCAAAATTCATGTTGATGCTTCTGATATACCTGATATTTATCCTCCAAATGCTGGCTTTTCTGCTGTGGATGCACCACTTACCAAAGAAAATGCCTTTTTACTTTTGGATTGGATTCGGAATCTGAAGTATAGGGGAGTGCAGCTACCAAAGAGGTTCTTGAAATGCATAAAGGAAGGAAGCTGGCTTAAAGTTACAGTCAATGGGTGGAGTCCGCCCTCAAAATCATTCTTAATTCACTCATCATTAGGAAATATTTTGCAAACCGGTTCTGCTCTTGTTGACATTCCACTTATTGATGAGAGCTTCTATGGGAACAGAATAGATGACTACCAAGATGAGTTGAAAACAGTTGGGGTGATGTTCAGTTGTGAGGAAGCATGTAAATTCATTGGAAGAGAACTAATGTCTCGGGCACGTGGGGCTTCTTTCACTTTAAGCAGGAATCATGTTCTTTTGATGCTTGACTTCATCCAATATCTGAAGCGAAATTATCTTCCTTTTGACCAATTTATTGACAGCATCAGGGAGGAAAGTTGGCTAAGGACAACTCTTGGTCTCAAGTCTCCTATAGGTTCAGTATTGTATGACTCAGGATGGGAAGCTGCTTCACAAATTAGTGATATCCCTTTCATTGATAAGGCTTATTTTGGTGAGGAAATATATAATTTTAAAGAGGGTCTCATGTTGCTGGGTGTGATAGTTGGCTTCCATGAAAACTACCAACTTGTCATTGACCATTTAAAATCACCCTCAGATTTGGCCAATTTGAAAGCTGAGGCTGTTCTTATGATAATGGAATGCTTAAGATTCTCACGTGCCTCTAATAAACTTGTAAATTCACTCAAGGGAAAGCGCTGCTTGAAGACAGACATGGGCTTCAAAACACCGAGTGAATGTTTCTTGTATGATCCTGTATGGGGCTGCATTTTGGAGGTGTTCAATGATCTTCCTGTTATAGATCACAAATTCTATGGAGAGAATATTTTCACTTACAAAGATGAATTGAAGCAAATAGGAGTGGTGGTTGATTTTGTGGAAGCTATCCAAAAATTTTCTTGTGTCTTCAAACAGAAGGTATCACAAACTTCCTTTAATCAACAGCATGTTAAATCATTTCTCTCATGTTGTAGGCTGCTGAAGGGAACTGAATACAAATTTCCTTCCAATTTCTCAATCATCATACGTAATGAGAAGTGGTTGCAAACCAGGGTTGGTGTTTATAGGCGTCCAAGAAAATGCATTTTATATGGTCCAGAGTGGCAAGCTATATCTTCAATAACTTGTCTCCCTTTCATAGATGACAGTGATAATTGTTATGGTAAGGGAATACATGAATACAAGGATGAGCTGAAAAGCATTGGTGTTGTTACTGAATTAAAAGATGGACTGAAATTTGTGCATAAGTTTCTGAATTTCCCTTCAGATCCCTCAACCATTACTCCTGACAGTGTGTTTTCTTTGCTGGAATGCATCCGTCTTCTGACCAAAAGGGGTGTTCTTCCCATTGAAGAAGACTTCAGGAAAAGCTTATCCAGAAATTGGTTGAAGACACATGCTGGTTATAGGTCCCCAGACAAGTGTTTGTTGTTTTATTCAAAATGGAATTTGTATCTGAAGCCAAGTGATGGGCCTTTCATTGATGAGAATTTTTATGGTCCTGAAATTGCATCTTACAAGAAAGAACTCAATGCAATAGGAGTCATTGATGATGTTGAGAAAGGGTGCTTTTTGGTTGCCAATCACCTTGAATTTCTCACTGATTATGACACCATTGTGCAAATATATAGGTGCTTGAATGAACACAACTGGAAACCTGAGGATAAAGCTACCCAAAAGATTTGGATTCCAGAAAGTAAAAAGTGGGCCTATCCTGAGGAATGTGTCATATATGACCAAGATAATCTTTTTAGTTCAAAATTTTATGTGTTGGATGATATCTATGAGAAGAAGATTCTTTCTTTTTTCTCCTTTGCCATGGAAGTAAGAAACAAGCCCTCACTTGATGACTATGTTAACCTTTGGAATAATTGGGAGAGTTCTGTGGAAAGATTGTCATATGACAGATGCTGCAAATTTTGGACGTTTATCTTGACCCATTTGAGCACAAACACGGAGAAGAAACTCCTTGAAAGGTTGGTGAAACTTCCTGCAACATCAGGCAACAATGAAATTTTTTTGTTAGACAAGAATGGTGTCTTTATTCCTGATAACCTTCATATGAAGAAGCTATTTGAGAAGGAGAAAGTTTTTGTCTGGTATCCTCAAAACTTGGTGCCATCTCTCAGATGTAAATTGTTTGACATATACCGAAAAATTGGTGCTCAAAATATCTCTGAATCACTATGCAAGGAAGAGTCATCCTTACTGAATGGTGTTGAACTCAATCAGATTGACCCTAGTAGTATTTGCAATGTAAAGAATTTGGTTAAACTTATTCTTGGTTTTCTTGCTTGTTCTAGTCTAAAAATGGAACCAAACAAGAGGCATGAAGCTGTTCAAAGTCTTGTAAACCTGAATTTCTATGAGACAATGGAGGAAATGAGTGTAAGCTATAGTTTACCACTATCATCAGGGAACATCATTACCAAAAAGGACAACAGAATGGTATGCTGGGAAAGGCAAAGTTCCAAGTTTTTCACGCAGAAGATGAAGAGGTCTAGTGAAAATGCAAGTTTAATAAAGTATGCTACATATTTCTCAGAAGCCATATCAGCAGGTGTTTTGTGTGAGAACCACGATCAGGTACTTGCACTCTCTGAGCTGATCACATTGGCTTTTGTGCTGAAATTCAATGATGAGGAAATTGAATTTCTTATGGAATCCAAGAATTTGCAGATTTTCTGTGAGGATGACGATTTCCTCAGTTCAGCATTTCCATCTGAATAAGCCTTTTGCATAGATCTTTTCAGGTTTAATTGCTTGCTACTTTATGTTTGCTGGTTCCATGATTTTGCTTTTCTATCAGTGGTGTGAGTTTTCATAGCCAATAATGCCTTATTATTGTGATATGACTGAATCCGGTTAATTTAAAGTAACTTTGTCTATATTTCTTTGTTTTCTATTATCTGATGCTCATTTCCACTTAACTTTACTCTTGTGGTCACTTCAATGTGAAAGCTCTTTTGCATAATCACTTGTGAGGAGGAATAAAATTATGCTGGTATAAGTTAAACCAATTTTACACCATTTAATCAATTTTTTATTAGAAGCTCCTATTACATAAATAATGTCTATAGAATTTAATATTAATGCAATATATACTTTTTAATTTATTATAAAGCAATAAATGTCTATATATCTAATTTATATAACTTTGTAAAATTAAATTTAAATGATAATATTGAAAGAATATTTCTCTTTTTCAAATATTCAGTTTGCTTATTAGCAATACATTGATTCGTTGTTTTATAGGCTATATATATTACTTAAAGTAATTTAATTTAATTTAAAAATAAAACATTTTCATGGTAAATTTATTATAAAAAATTACAGAAAAGGAATCAAGATAGTTAAGGCTTTATCACTTTAGTTCTAATGTTACATAACATGCGCATGTTTTTATTATTTTTATCTCGTGATTAATTACATAATTTCAATAATTTAAATATATTTCAATTAATTGAATAAATTATTCTACAACTAATTTTATTACTTGGTAATTATTGATTGCAGTAATAAAAAAATCATTCTATAATATCTAACAAACTAATTTCCATAATTCATAGAATCATAAGATTTAAGAATTAAATTGAATGAACCAAGTTGAAATAATTTTATTTGTTTACTTATGCTGAAAAATGTTAAAAGATTGTAAATATTATACATAAGAAACTGAATCTTAAAGAATACTACATGTCGTAACTTTAGAAGACAAAATGTTACTTTCACACATGTAATAGATAATAGATAGAATTTAATTTAAATGCATCCACAGTGAAAAGATTTTTATATATCATCTAGATATGAACTGTCATATCAACAATAATATTTAATTTTTGTAATAATTAATATAAAAATCATATCTGTATTTTAATTGAGTTGATAATATACAATTTCTTACAACTAAAATTAAACTAATAGATATTTACAAGAAAATTTAATAAGAACGTTTATTTCCAATGGTATAGCTAATTAACAACAGTAGAGTTCCATGCAGTATACCACCTCATACGTAGACATTAATATGTACGAAAATGGGTTGGTAGCATTTTCCTAGCCAAATGAAAACCACATGGTGAAGGCAAGAAACGTATCGGATGCCATGGTAGTAACTAGAAGGTAAGTATTTACAAGCACACCAAAACTTGATCACTATGGCCTATAAAAATGCTAACATTAAGAAATTTTGTTATAGAGAAGAGAAGCATGAATATTGAAACGCCATAGGAAAGAAGCAAGCCATAGAAGCATGAATACTGAAACGCCAAAAAGGACTTCTAGTCCAAACTGGCACACCTCTTACGTCAAAACCAATATTTTTAATAACTTAAATCCCATATGCCAAGCCAACCAACAGTTAATTCTCAAGGGGAAGTTCGTGATCATCCACAACCATACCAAATCAATACCTGGAAAATTAATTTCTGTTCAGATTTATAGTGGGACAGATGAGGATCCTGGTAAGTACAATTTCCTAATCACTTATTTTTGTTAGTTTTATGAGATAGTTTCTTAAAATAAACTATAATTAAACGTGTTATAATTTTTATGTTCTGTGAAACTTTTAATCTATGTCTTTTCAATAAATTATAATTTAGTCTTTGCAAATTTTTCCTCTGCCGTATACTCTTCATTAATCTTCTGTTCTATGTGACATATTTGGAAAACATAACAGGGGTTAAAGAGCAAATGACATTTGACTACCTAATTATATTAGTACTGTAAAATTATAATCTATCTATATATATAAATTAGCGTATATATGCATGGTTAAAATTTTAAAAAAATGAGAAACTTATAATATTTAAAAGGACGATAAAAGTAAGCTCACTGAATTTAGATAAACTAAGATTATCAAAGAGACCATATCGAAAATACGAGGAATTGATTATAACTTTTTAAAAAATAAGAGAAACAAATGAAAATTGATTATACTTAGACGGACGAAAAATATGTTTAAACTCTTTTCCTTTCAAAGGACCAGTTTATGTTGCCCAGTTTACTATATTTATGTGATACGTTTTAACTAGGGAACATATTATTATGCTTTCAACTGTGTTGCATTGAACAGATACAGGTAAAGGGATGTTGAGCGGAAAAGCAAAATTCAAACAATGTGAGAGCATAAAACATAACCATGATGCACCAACAACCATATATAAAATTAAAATACATGTTGGCTCACACTTTGGAACTCCAAGAGCTTTTGTGATTCAAAGCCAACACAATAAGAAATTCTTCCTTCAGTCTGCATCTATTGAGACTTCTAACAACCGCATCATTCACTTTGATTGCAATTCTTGGGTATATCCAATCAAGAAGACCAAATCTGACAGACTCTTCTTCTCAAATAGAGTAAGTCCTATTATATACTTGGAATTTGACTGAAATACACTGACAGTGTCACAATTTTTAACTCTGTCATCTAATCATAAATTATCATAAAAGTAAAAGTCTTTGACTTTTTCCCGGTTTGGTAAATTTTTATATAAGTTCTTGTAAGAGAATAAAAATAATATAAAAAATGGGTGATTCTTAGATCCTTCTCATTCATTTTCACAAGTAAGAGTGATATGATTTTATGTTAAATGAATGGTTGAGATTTAATGATTTTTAGGTAAACATTTTGAGTAATAATAGGTTGATGAAAGACAAATCGATAAATTGCTGTTCCACTTCCTTCATCTATTGCATCTAACCTCTTGGCAACTCCTCCTCTTTCATCTCTCTCCTCTCCTCTCAATTTTGAATTATTAAAATTTTTTCTAATTTCTATCTTTAATATTATAAACTTTGAAGGGATATAATTTTTAGAATAAAATTTTAATTTATATAAATTATATATCTATTTCATATAATATTTTAAGATCTATTCAAATTAAAAGTCTAGATAGCTTGGACAGACTTCTTTTTCTCAGAATCTAACATTTTCTTCTTTTTCTTTTTCTATTTTTTAGTCTTTTTTATTTTTATTTTTTTGTAGAAAGGATTTTGCCATATGCAAATCTTCGATGATCTGAATAAAAATTTATAGCCATGGAACGAATGAAAAGTGACGGTGCTTGGTTACATAATCCCCAATGGAGGATGTAAAGTAAACAAATTCTGTCACATGAAGGAAGATGAATGATGTAGAGAACAAGAAAAATATACATCAAAATATCAATATATTTTTTGATAAATTTAACTTAATCACTAGTTTTTTATCTTGTATTTTTTTAACCATCTTATTTCAATCAACAGTTCTTATAAAATAAAATAAAAATAGTATAAAAATGAATAAATTTTTTCTCAAAGTAAAAAATAACTTATTTCTTTAAATTTTAGAGAAGTTAAAGAAGAGAAGTTCTCAAAACTTTTAAAAAAGTAGAGAAGTATAAGTAGTTTCTTTCTTATACGATAGTACTTTTAGACTGGATAATCTTGAAGATAAATCCTTATAAGAAAAGAAAAAATAGTATTAAAAATTAATAAAATTTCTTGCATAAGTTATTTTAACTTATACTCCTCTATTTTTTAGAAAATAATCTCATTTAACTTTTCTAAAACATAAGAGATAAGTTACTTTTAACTTATGAGAGAAGTTTTATTTATTTTTTATATTATTTTTCTTCTCTTACAAAGACTTATCCATAAATTCACCCAAAAAAGGCATTATTCATTTTTTATACTGATTTTTCCTCTTATGAGGACTTCTCGAAAAGTTTACTTAAACACAACAAATTTTTTCCTAACTTAAAATTAACTTATACTTCATTATTTTTAGAAGTTACTATTATTTAATACAACACCAAAAAGGAGATGCGAGATTGATTCCGTTTTAAATTAAAGAGCATTTAGAACTATTCTAAAGTCTCATACTATCAATGTGTTGCATTTAAGAGAGCGATTAAAAGTCACTTGGAAAACGGTTTATATAACCACTTTTCTAAGTATGGGTGTTTTAATTTATAAGTTTGACATTCCAAATTTCTTTATTTTTTTCACAAATCAAAATTGAATCTTCAGTTTATACATTGTGTTAACTAAACAATTCACATATGCATGAACCAAACACAAGTAAACAAAGTAGATGAGAATAAATTAGTAGAATGATTTACCGTTAATAGAGAGAAAAAAAAGAAAAAGAGAATGAATGATTTACCGTTAATAAAAAGAAAAAGAAAGAAAGAGAGAATAGAGATAATTGTGAAAAGTACCTATCAATGTGAAAAAGACCAATTTGTTAGTGGAGGAAAGACAAAGAGAACTTACAGATGTGAAAGAGACCAAAGACACCAACTTTGTTAACACAGAAAAGATGAAAATAACTTACAGAGGTAAAAAAGACCAACTTTATTAGTAAGACGAAGAGATTCATGAGTTGAACATGTTTCATTTGTAAATGTTAAAGACTTTAGAAAACGGTTAACAAAAAACTGCCCTTAGAAGTATATATATCAGAGTGATATACTTTAGAAAACGATTAATAGAGAAACATGCTCTTACAAGTATAGATCTGAGAGAGTATACTTTAGAGTGGAGAATCATTTTTAGAAGTATAGATCTCGGAACCTTTCAACGCTAACCCTTTTTAAATGCATTGTTACAAAGTAGTTTCTATTACTCGCTGTCTAAATTAACGCTCCAAAAATTTACTTTTGACAGAGTGTAACTTCTCAAAACTTAAAGAAATAAGTTATTTTTAATTTATAGAAGAAATTTTATTAATATTTTATGTTGTTTTTCTTTACTTATATGGACGAAAGCTTACCCGAGTTGGCCCTTTTATCATAACTAACATAAAAATCATACTTTACACTCAGTGTATCAAAATTAAACTCATACTTTCATCTTTTGTTGGCAATTTGGTGTTACATGAAATTACATAACTATGTGGTCATGACAGTGCTATCTTCCAAGTCAGACGCCAAGAGCACTAGTGGAACTAAGAAAGGAAGAGCTGGATAGATTGAGAGGAAATGGAATGGGAGAAAGAAAGGAATGGGATAGAATATATGACTATGACTTGTATAATGACCTTGGTGATCCTGACAAAGGTCCAGAGCACCTTAGACCAATCCTTGGTGGCTCAAGGTTGTATCCATATCCACGTAGAGGAAGAACAGGTCGAAAACATAGTATAGCAGGTAGTCAATTTACTTGCCCCTTAAATTCAGTTCATGGTAGAAATCTCCATTGGCATGATCCATAGCAATTGTAGCCTATTAACATGCTTTAATATAGTTGATTTAATTTGGGTTGAGTGTACGAGGATTGAGCTCCTCTGCAATGAGGTTTTATAAGTATAACTAGCTTGAAATCAATGATGAAATGATTCTCACTTTCCACCTTCCCTCACTTTAGAGATCTAAATTAATACATGTTTGTGAGATACTTTCAAATCAAGGGTGGTGTAAAGGAGCCAGATCCTCAGAAAATTACATGCTAGGCTTAACAATTCAAACTAAGTTTCATCTCTACTTTGATATTTTTCCCCGAGTTTGTGAGATTGGATCCCAATGGAAAATGAACCTACTTAAGAATAAAGTCCATGGACAATAAAGGGTATGCATTAGATCATGTTTGTAGCACATTGTACCAGTTTTCTACATTGATTCTATTTCTCATTCCTAATTTGATGTACCTCCATGGAAAATTTAGGTCCATCGAGTGAGAGCAGGCCACAACCAATGAGCTTTGACATGTATGTTCCATCAGATGAGAGATTTAGCCCCAATAAATTGAAGGAGCTGAAATCATATTGTGTCCATGCTATGGTACATTTTCTATCAACAAAGGCAGAATTAATACCACAACGAAGTTCCGCAAGTGTTCAATCATTCGAAGAGATATTTGACATGTTCTCTGGAAATAAGAACCAAACAATAGAGGGATGGATGAAAGAGAACTTAAAGAAAGTGATACCGATAGATCACTTTAAGGAGATAACTCGTGCGATCAAGGAAAACCATGAGCAACTACCTTTTCCTCAAATCATTGCTGGTAAAATCATTGATACCATTTGTATGTAATTATTTTATTCAGTTGGTTGCATAGTTAGTTATTTTAGGAGATAAATTGTATAGTAAATAATTCTTAGATGGCAAAGCTTAGTTAATTTCCATTTTTCTCTCCTTAAATTGAAGGAAGGAGAATTTGTATTGTATCTAGATAACTTTATGACATTGTTTTCTGGGATCTTTTTCTTTTCAGAAAATGAATGGGCTTGGAAAGATGACATGGAATTTGGACGACAAATGCTTGCAGGAACTCATCCTGTCAGAATCCAGTGCTTAAAGGTACTTCCACTTATGAACTAGGTTCTAGAAATAACCTGCCAGTTTGAAAGATCTCACTATTTACCTAGGGAAAGAAGAGGATCATGTACAGGAGTAGATTCCATAGGGTAAGCATCCACTGTACTAGACAATATTAGTAAAAGCAAATATTATCTATTACAATGAAAAAGCATATCATTTCTTTTGAAAAAAGTTGTACAGCATTGCTCAACAAGCTTGAGTCTTCATGAAATGAATTTTCCATGACAAGGTATAAACGTATATTTTCTACACTACATAGTGACTGGGATTAATATTGGAAATTGTTGTTATATCTAGGAATAGAAGAAATTCAAAACATGTTTCATTAGTATAATACCAGATTGGGAATTTGTATCTTTTGAAGTTTTTAAGATTATAGAAGCAATATTCTAGGTTATGCTTTAATCTGTCAGAATTAAGAATATTCCTAGTAACGAAGCATCAAGGACTAATTAGATTTTAAAATATGAAATGAATGTTGATTTATCCATCAACACACCTAATTCAAAGTTTCATTATTAGCATACTACCCACTAAGCCAAATCTAGAACATGCAAAAACAAAATCACAAAGTTAGTCTCCATGGATTTTACAATTTCTATGCTTAAAACTAATAACTTTTATGTAATTAAAGTTGTGTTGATGCATAACGGAAAATTGAGGTCCATAGTAGCAACCATAAAATCAGCGATATGAATAGTATCACACTTAAAATAGACTTGTGAAAAGCAGCAACTTCTTCAGGATGGCACCCTGTCAACATGGTAATCAAAATTGACCCTGTCTTGGCCTTAATATATAATGAACAATTTGAGCCACAACATCACAGAATGGAGCAATGGAAAGAAAGACAAATATGGTTTCTGAACCGAGCATGTTCCCATGCATAGAACAGCCAAAGTTGTATATATCAAAATAGTAGATTGTATGTAATTATCTGAAAGAATATAAAATGAATGTATGCAATATATCACAACATGTTGGTCAAGCTTCACCACTAGAGCAACATATCTAGTCTAATAATTGTAGGTTCTCATGTAATTTTGTAATCAAAATAGATTTTAATATCACAATTTTAGGCTGTCATTGTTAATTTCAATCCACCTTGCAGAAATTCCCACCTAGAAACAAATTTGGAGTACGGAGTTCAATAAAACAATCAATCATAGAACAGAAGCTGGAAGGATGGACACTTTCTCAGGTAGGTATCATTTGAGAATATCATTTGTTATGTTTTTTAATTGGGATATATTAAATAACCTAAACGCTGTAAGAAATCACATTTTAATCACAATTTTTGTTTTTTCAAACATTACACATGGTTAGAATTTAGAAAATTAAATTACAATTTCTAAAACTTAAGCACTTTCAAACAACAAGTATCAAGGTTAAGAAATGTGCCACACGAATCATTAAGGTGTAACTCATGAGCTGATCTTTTTTAAGGCCATGAGATGATTAGTTATCTCATGTTCTATATGTTCAAATGTGGGCTCCATTTTACCCAATAATAAGCCCTCCAGCGGTGTCTTTTTTATCCTTAAATTTATGCATGATTATATATTTCAAGGGTTTGCTATACCAATATGGGAATAAAATATGTAGTTGAGTTGTTTATGTTGATGGCTAGTAATTAACAAGTAGTAACAAGGGCAGCATTTTTGCTTGGATGACCTTTGAAGTGAAGTTTCAGCAAAATAATTACCCCAAACATTCCTCATGCATAATTTAACTATGGTAGTTAATATGGCAAGACATTTTTACAGTTTTTCAGCTTAATTTACTGATATTTAATGGTAATTTTTCTTTGAGCATTTTATTCTTGCCTTTATTTATTTCTTGGCTTTTCCTCACAAATTGTGTCAGGCAGTGGAACAGAGAAGAATATTCATTCTGGACCACCATGACTATCTCATTCCATATTTGAACAGAATAAATGCAAATGGAGTATGTGCTTATGCATCCAGGACTCTATTTTTCTTAAGGAGTGATGGCATGCTTAAGCCATTGGCTATAGAACTTAGCTTGCCAGGTCCATCTCCACACCTTGAATTCCATAGAGTTATTCTTCCAGCCAAGCAGGGAACACAAGCAGCACTTTGGCAGCTCGCAAAAACTCATGTTTTAGCTAATGATGCTGTTTACCATCAATTAATGAGTCACTGGTGAGTTAAATTATTTCTGCTATCCCATTTACTAAAGTTCTCATTCAAATATCTCAATTTTTACTCTGCAAAAGATACTCAAAAAATGATTGTTTCACATTACTGTTTTACTTTGCACTTTCTTTTACACCGCTTCCTGTAAAAATGTCAAATCACGTGGCACAGAAAAAAGAAAGAAAAATAGGCTTTCTTTTGATAAATACAGGTAAGTGTGTAACTTAGTGAAGTGAAAAATCATGCTTATGTTTAAGAGTCTTTGTCCTTCTCTGTTTTCTAAATAAAGGTGCATTTCTAGAATTCTTCAGGATTTGTTTTATTTGTAGAAGGAAATAATTATCCTTTCTAGCATTATTAAAATTGTTATCCTTTCCTAATCTTGAATTTCAGAATTTTTGTTGACCACTTTACACATAAGAACAATTACTAGTGGCGAATGAATATTTCCTGAGTTCGTTAATGAAAACTGACTTCTTAATTTAATAAACAGAAACATTGAGCATTCAAAAGCTAAAGAAATATTGTTTCATTATAAAAGAATAATGAACTACAAAGAAGTTAAGTAATTTAGAAGAAAAACTAAAAATAGATAGGAATAGTATACCAAGAAAGATAAGGAAAAAAATAAAATAAAGGACATGGAAACTTTTTAGCAATATATATTAATCTATTACTATGTTACTTTTTCCATTTTAAGTGTTGTATAATGAAAACCTTTTCAGGTTATACACCCATGCAGTTGTTGAACCATTTATCATTGCCACCAAAAGAAGGCTAAGTGTTATGCATCCAATCCATCGGTTATTGAACCCTCATTTCAAAGACACAATGCACATAAATGCCTTGGCACGACTTTACCTTTTAAACTCAGGAGGAATTCTGGAGAGAATATTATTCCCTGGTGAAATCTGTATGCAGATATCTTGTGACCTTTATAAAGAGTGGAGATTCGATGAACAAGGACTTCCTGCTGATCTACTCAAAAGGTACATTAGAATTTACCACCTTTATTCACAAGTTTTAGAATGGCGTATTTCACTTTGTGTATCATGGTGGGGAAAATAGTTTGAAAATTTTGCTTTGAGCTTCTGAAGAGTTTTTTTTCCATGTGTGTTAAGGTCTTTCTCACACCATATTCATTGTCTCATATACTGCCCAATAGGTTCACTTAAAAGAAACTCTCGAGATAAATATAATAAAGTAAAATGTTGAAGTCTCTCAGACTACAAATATGGCTAAATCAAAAAGAGCTTATAAAGGCTAAGGAAAAAGTCATCTTATGAGCTACTTTTTGGGCCTAACACAACACACCCTCTGGACATAGTCAATTCTACCGTCCCACACACTCACATGTGTTAATCCAACAAAAACTGATTATGCAGGGGCATGGCTGTGGAAGATCCAGACATAAATAACCCCACTGGGATTCAGCTTATGGTGTTGGACTATCCCTATGCCACTGATGGACTTGAAATATGGGTTGCCATCAAAGAATGGGTGATGGACTTTTGCTCATTCTTCTACGAGGATGATGAGGCCATTGAGGCTGATATAGAACTCCAAGCATGGTGGTCAGAAATTAGAACTCAAGGCCATGGTGACAAACACAATGACACATGTTGGTACGAAATGACAAAACTCTCACACCTTGTAGAAACATTAACAACCCTCATATGGGTTGCTTCTGCTAGACATGCATCCTTAAACTATGGCCAATATGCATACAATGGTTACCCTCCAAACCGTCCCACACTATGTAGGAAATTTGTTCCACTAGAAGGGACAGTTGAGTTTGGTGAATTTCTCAAGGACCCAGATAAGTTTTTCCTTAAGATGCTACCTGATAGGTTTGAGATGAGTCTTGCAGTAGCATTGGTTGATGTGCTCTCAAGGCACACTTGTGAAGAAGTGTATTTGGGGTGCCACCAATCACCAGGGTGGATAGACAATGAAGTAATTCTGAACAGGTTTGCTGAGTTCAAACAAGATCTCAAGGAAATTGAGACAAGGATCATGCAAAGGAATAGAGATCCGAAGCTTAAGAATAGGCGTGGCCCAGCAAACATTGAGTACACTCTTTTGTACCCTGATACATCTACTTCTTCTAACTCAAGAAGTGGAATCACAGGTAGAGGAATACCTAATAGCATATCAATTTGACATAGTTTTAGATGTTTGTACACACTAATTTGACTCTTTTGTAGAAATAATGGTTTGTTTTTTTAAAAGTTATAACATCTTTATGAAATTTAAATATTTTTCTTTATTAAGTATAGAGATGGAAACAAGTTAGATCAGATCAGATTTTACTCTAAACATGCTTGACCTGTAACATAATTATTAAGCCTAAAGTTGATCTATTAAAGACTTTATTTTCAGTCAGGCCCTATTATTTTAAAGACTTTATTTTCAGCCTAACTTGACCTGAAGCCTGTTAACAAAGTTTGCTGCAAAAAAAAAATCTTAATATTAATGAAAATATAATTATTTTATTATCAAATTAGTTTATATATTTACAAATTTTTATCTGTTATTGATAATTATTAAATAATTGTAACAATTTTTATATAATTTTATAAATTATTTTTATAATATTATTTGAGCATTAACTATAAATATTTTCATATTATAAAATTTTTATATTTTTATTTTTCTTAATTTAATTTTATAAAATTATTAAAGTATTGAAAATTTTAATTTTTTTATGATAATTATATTTTATTTGTGTAAAGATATCTTATATTCAATAAATAAAATCACAGTAAACACATAAAATTGATAACAAAAAAAATAGTTACAAAATTTGTTGAATTAGCTAAAATAAAATTATTATATTAAAAAAGTAAATAAATATTGTCATTATAAAATTATAGATAAAAAAATATTTATATTACAAGATTCATATATCTAGAAAAATAACATATGAGCATAGTAAGAATAAAATTTATATTTAAATTATAATAACTTATATTTCTAAACTTTTATCTTAATAAAAAATGTGTGCTAAATTTAATATAACAATTTAAACTCAATGCACTATATATATATATATATATATATATATATATATATATATATGTATATATGTATATATATATATATATATATATATATAATAACAATAATAATAACTATTAAATTAAAATAATTATAATATATTTAATTTTATTTATTTCATTAATTTTTTAATTTAAATTAATAAATATACGTAAAATTAACTACACTATAATATTAATATAATATAAAAAATATTACTAATGTAATATATTAAAACATATATTTATATATTATATATAAATTGATAAATTAATCAATAATATAATTTTTTATTTATACTTTTTTGTTTATATAAATATTTATTAATTATTTAATTTTAAATATATATTAACAACTATATTTTTTAAGAAAAAAATCTATCTACATTTATGTTAAATTCATTAAAAATAATTATTTAAAATTTGACATATTATATTTAGGTGTGTGACTGTGTGCTATGGACTTAGTATCTAAATTTTTTTTATCGATACCTTACTCAAAATAATTATACTAATAAAAATAAAACACGTAGTAAGTTACAAAAAGTATATGTTATTATATATAATTATGTAAAATTATATTATTTACTATATGGTCTTATTATATTATATTATTTAAATTTTTTATTTTATTTTTCTATTATTTTTAAAAAAAATTATGTTTCAAATAAAATATAATTTATATTTAAATAATTAATAAATAAATAAAATTATACATAATATATTAATATAATAATTAAATATTAATAATAATAAAATTAAGAGTATAAAAAATATATTAATATAATATTATTATTTTATTTTTAAATTTTATTTTGTTTAGTTTTGATTGCATCTTTTTTTTTGTTCAAAGATTTAATTATTCTTTAACTTGTTTAAATGTAACAAATATGATCATTTATTAATAAATAAATTTATTATTTAAAAAGTGTAATCGTGTATAAATATTTTTAATTTTTAATAGAATATAATTTCTATTTATTATAATTATAAATGAAAAGAATTATAACATAATATATTAATTTAATAATAAAATAATTAAGAATATAAAAATATATTATTAAATAATTTTATTATTTAAATATATTTTGACAACTCTATTTTTAAATTATATATATATATATATATATATATATATATATATATATAAGCCGACCTATCAGGCTTAACAGGCTTTGTAATATAACTCACTTATTTATTAAAAAGGTCAGGCCAGAGTGCATGCCCTTGTCAAGCTACTTAGCCTATTTCTATCCCTAATTAAATATAAAACTTTCAATAAAACTTAATTATAATAGTAAAGGATATGTGTAGTTTTGAAAAGATTCAAGTGTATATAAATTTAAACTTATAAAAGTTAGCAAAAGTTTTTTAAAAAATAAAGTAAAATTTATAAACGAATTAAATTTTATTCATAATAGAAATAAAATTGTATTTTTATAATTTAAATTTATAATTAAAGTGAAAACTGAAATTTCATGTTTAACAGTTAACTCATTTCATATTATATATACAATACGAGTTTATAATATAACAAAACCGTCTTTCAGCAATATAAATTTTTAATTAATTCTGGCTATAAATTACAATTTAAAGTAAATGACTACTAAATATTACACATATACTTTAAATTATTATTTACAATAAAGTTTATCAAAATTATAAACTATAAAATTAACATTTGAAATATTTATATCTCATTGTTAATTCTAAATAAAAACTTAATCAATATCATTACATTTCTCAAAATAAACTAAATCTTAACAAAACAATTCTTTTTCTTACAATCTATTACAAGTATGATTTTAGAACGGATCAATCTTTTTTTTTTTTTCATTTTCATTACCTGAAAATATTTGTAAAGATAAGCATTATTCGCTACCACTAAATCTTCATTTTATAAAATAATCAAAACAATACAGAAAATATGATTTAATACAACATGCAACAAAATAGGACTCATTCATATTTATGAAAATTTTAACCAAATAGAATTCATCAATGCACAATATTTTATACTTAACAAAATACAATTATTGAATTCATGCCACTTCATTCATTTTTATTCTGATGGATTCATCAATAAATGGTACTCTAAGTACTCACATGTTCCTAAATTGCTTCCAACATATTCTTCCTAATTATAAAGAATTTACGCCAACATAGATAGTCGTTAGTTAGTTACCACAAATAGATATACATATACTTGTTGAGTCTCATGCTGTGTGGCTCTAATTTCTTTATTCTAGTTTTAATAATGTATTATGTGGCTATTGTTTAGTTTAATTTTTAACCACAATTTAGCTTATGGTTTACATTAATTCTTGTAGGATATATAAGCATTGTAATGTAGTTTAGAAATCAATTCATTCAGATAAAAAATTAACATTATCTCATCTAGTTTCTTATAATTTTTCTTTTCTTTTCTCTTTATTAGAAAATATAATTTACTTCTCTTAATTCTTTAGTTGTTTACAATTTCATACTTTCGCATAGTGCATAAATCTTAACAAGTGATATAAAGCACTTATTTAATTAAGAATTTATTATGTCTTTGAATAGGCCAAGTCCTCGACATAATAATGTGCAGTGCTAAAAAGAGAAGTAGGGGGGGATCCTAGATGTGAAAATAGGAAGTTTATGTGACCTGTGAAGAGTTAAAGGGAAAATTTGGAGGGACAAAGTAGACACAACAAAATTGTTAAATTAACAACTTACAATGCAAAATTTGTCATCTAGTTACTTGATAATTAAGAATTATGATTTAAGAAATAAGATATCATGATATAATTAACCTCGACTAGTATTTACAGACGTTGCAAGCCTTTGACTTCCTTATACGTTGTTGTGCGTCAGCTCTGAATGGGAGGCTCAAATGACGAAGCAAGCTTTAAGATGTATTCCTGCTCATTTTATAGCAATAGCATGGTCTTACACAATTCTCTTACTTTGTCAAATGTAAATAACTTTTGGCAATCATTACATAAGTAATACACTCTCGTGAGCAGATCCCTACAATGGCATAACAAATTTGTCTAACATAAGAACTTACAAGTTAAGAAATAATATAGTTAACATTAAAGTAATCAGTATGATATTAAACTATAAAAGTTAACATTTTCATCGAACTATTAGTGATGTCATGTATTGGTTGGGCTATAGCGGAGAGCTGCAATGTGATGTACTAATAACCTGCAAACATTTTTTTAAATTCAGAAATGAATGTCACAAATTTTTTCTCAAAAAAAATGCATACATTAATGAGAAAAGCAACTATGCTTACTCGTGTACAATTGTTAGAATTTTTCCTTAAAACACAGCAAATGTACGGGTCTATTGCAAATAATAACCAGTGGAGTATCGAGATATCATCCCTAGAGAGTAATTCAAAAGGTATTAATTGTTAAGATATAAATTAATTAAGCTTATATACAATAAAATTGATTGATGGTTTTAATAGAATTTGAGTGACAACTATAATGTAAAGTAATGATGTAAAATGTAGTAAAAGTCAAATTAAAGAAATTGAGATTGAATTTCATCTATCTCCCTCTTTGTATTCTAGTAATTCAGTGATAAGCATAACAATCATTTCCATTGACATTGATGCAAAATACAAAATTCATATATCTTAATTTCTTGAAAATATACTTCTAAGATAATTTCTTAAATGTTGATTCTTCAAACAGTTAACAAACTATCCAGCATTACAATTAGGATTTAAAAATAATCAATAAGTCAAAATCTATTCCTAGAATGATCAGTTATTGAGTAATCTCAATCAGATCTGGATTCGAACAATATCATTGATTGATGGTTTTAATAGAATTTGAGTGACAACTATAATGTAAGGTAATGATATAAAATGTAATAAAAATCAAATTAGAGAAACTAAGATTGAATTTCGTCTATCTCTCTCTGTATTCTAGTAATTCAGTGATAAACACAACAATCATTTCCATTCACGTTGATGCAAAATACAAAAATCATATATCTTAATTCCTTGAAAATATACTTCTAAGATAATTTCTTAAATGTTGATTCCTCAAGCAGTTAACAAACTATTCAGCATTACAATCAGAATTTAAAAATAATCAATAACTCAAAATCTATTCCTAGAATGATCAGTTACTGAGTAATGTCAATCAGATCTGGATTCAAACAATATCTTTCCAGATATAACTTAGATCTGGGCTTAAGAAATGATCGATTAAATAGATTCAAACATTAAACACGGATTGAAATCATCAAATCAATAACAATGAAGAAAAAACAACTATATTTATATAAATTACTTCTGAAACACAAAAGTCACCTTTTATAGCATTTTGGACAAAACTTCTCGCTATAGCGACATATGTTTCGCTAAAGCCCAGAAGGTCACCCATCCCATAATTTTCCTAAGTGTGCTTAACTTTGGAGTTCTTAAGTGATAGGCTACCGAAAAGTAAATGCATTTTGTTGGTATAGGTAGTCCTAATCAATTCTTTTAAGCCATCCTCAATTATTTAGTCCCATACCTACACAGCCTCTAGATTCCTCTCATTTTGGTGTAAGTTCGATTCATTCATGTGTCCCTTACCGTCAGAAGCCTGCCAGGTAGCCACTCTTTGTCCGTGCCACATTGCACCAGCGATCACTCCCCACCCTTACCTAGCGCTTGGGTGTCACATGCCCACCAGCTTTTGTTTGGTTCGTCCTTGAATCACATCATACATTGATGACTGTCCAAACAAATCAATACAAGACTTTTTAGTATGCTTTGTCCTCACTCACACTTTCCGGGAATTTTCTAGAGGTCACCCATCCCATAATTTTTCCAAAAGTAAATACATTTTGTTAGTATATGTAGTCCTAATCAAATCCTTTAAGCTATCCTCAACTGTGTAGTCCTATACCTACACAGCCTTTTGATCTCTGTCATTCATGTGTAAGTTCAATTCATTCATGTGCCCCTTACTACCGGAAGCCTGCTAGGTAGCCGCTCATTGTCCGTACCACATTGCACCGGTGATCACTCCTCGACCTTACCTAGCGCCTGAGTGTCACATCTTATTACAGCCAGAAAAGTGCAAAATCATTCTTCTAAAATTATGATTTATCGCTGTAGTGAGGATGTCTCGCTACAGCAAGAGACTTGCAGAAGCTCTCTTTTCTTCAAACTTTATGTTTTTTGTGCTTCTTGCTTAATTTTTCAAATTTCTTCAATTTTGGGTAATGTTTCTATTCTGATTCCAACGACAAAATGTATAAAAAGGAATCAAAACACTTAAATTTGCATTTTTCTCTTCAAATATACAAGTAATTATAAAAATTTCAAGTTTAGGAAAATTTTAATCAAATCCAAACACTTAACATGGGACGTGTTTGAGTCATCACTTAAAATTACCTAATTTATATATTTATCAACAATTAAAAAAATAATTTGTCGTACACAAGAAATGATAAGGAGCGGTATAGATGAAACCTATCCCACACCAATGGAGTAAGGCTTCCAACAGATTTTTAACCCTCACTTAATAAACATGAGATTGATCAATTCAACTATTGATTTGAAGGTCCTTATCAAATAAATTAATTTTATAAAACTTTATAAAAAATAAAATTAATAGGTATTTTATTATGTTTTATTGTTTTAAATTTTGAATAACATAACAAAAAATGTTCAAATTAAGTAAAATTTAATATACATTATTACAAAGATAAAATAAAATGATTCAATGATTAGATTTCTAAATCTCACATTTTATGAAAAATTATTCAAATATTCATATCCTTAAATAAAATAAATTGTCAACACAATAAATTATTAATTAAATTATTAATCATTAAAGTCTTACATGGTGAAAATTTCTTTAGATAAAAAATTATCAATTTTATGGTTGAATTTAAATAAGTAATAATTGTAAAATTTTATTGAATTAAATATTTATTATAATTTTGTCTTTTATATGTAATAAATGAATTTTTGTTAAAACAGAAATTCATTATTTTTAAACTTCCATACTATTTTAAGAGTTAAGGTTAACAAAAATGTAAAAATAATTATATTTTATGAATAAATATTTTAACTCAGTTCTTAAACATAGTTTTAGAGACTTAAAATTAGTAATTTATAAAAAAATAAATTATATTTATTAAAATTTTATATTCTTAAAATAATAGTAATATTTTCTTAATAAAAATTTATCTCCTTCTGTTACCTATCTTCAATCTTAAATACTGCAGTTAACATTTTGCTTTCGTGACAGTGGTTTGGGCGGCTTCTTATATTAGATTTAAGCTAAGATGAAATGATTGAACCAATAAGATTTGAAAATGATGGGTTGACTTATTTAATTACAATCGTGCCCATTTCATGTATCTATCGCCAAACTCAAACTTAACTCATTATAGATCTATTTTCCTCTTCTTCTCTCAATCATTTTAAGGATGGCTCAGCAAATTCCATATGCTGTTACATCAAATCTCATTCGCAGGTTCCCTTTCGCTGCCTTTCTTAATTCTCTATTATTTCATAAATTGTTCAAATCTCAGTTTAGTTTTTCTATTTTAGTTAGTTTCTCATTTTATTTTTAGATTTCTCTTAACTGTTCACCTTTTTTTTTTTAATGATATCTCTTTCATTATTATTTAATGAATCTCAAAAAAATAACTTTATATTTTTTGTTTTATTTCTCTTCTTTCTTGAAGGTAAATTCCTTGGTATATGAAACATATGTGTCTTTTTTTTTCTTTGAATATTTAGTATTTTGAAGTTTTTTTATTGATATTATTTTGTAATTTCTACATTTTATAGTTATTAAATGATATGCAAACACATAAAAGATGGGTTAAAAAACCTTGAGTTTTTTTATGATATAAAAGTAACATTAGTAATTAATACATAAATATTCTATTAAACACATAATGTTCAAGATAATGTTCATGACTATTTCTTTTTAAACTTTTGCACCTCATACTGCAAAATGAAATTTGATAATTGTAACGAATGCTTTTACGACAATGCTTTCTGGTATTAAGACGACTTTATTATTGGATAATTCTTTAGATTGATTGACTGTTAATTATTTGTTAATATTTTCTTCTCCTTTTATTCACACCAACACCAATCTTGATTAGTTAAAATTTGTCAAATTTCCGTACAAGTTTTTTGGTACTGTTCAGCTTTACTACTATTGTTTTTAAATGACATTCTATTTTTTATCTGATATTTTTAAAATATAAATTTATATATATATATATATATATATATATTTGTCATGTTTTCTCTACCATATTTCTTTTTTATTTAAAAGTATTGCTCTTTTTAATATAGTTTTTACCACGTTAATTCATGAAAATAAATTAATAAATGAATAATATTTTAACTTAATTAAAATTAAAATATAATTATATAAATTTAAACACTAAATATCACTCTCAAATTATAAATTTATTAAAAAAAGAAATCACTTGATACTTAACAATAACAATAAAAGTTAAAACTTTTAGAATATAGATACATTGTCCCCTATAATACTCAAATATCTAAATTCCAATACTTGTATTAATAATATGATATTTTTTTTATCTGTTAATATAGATTTTGGTCTATGGTAATATCATAATCATTTTATTAATTAATAATATTATAAATAAATTTACTTTTCCTAAAAAGTAAATTATTTAATAAATTTATTATTTTAAAATTATGCTTGAATTACACTCTTTCGCAGCAATATTTTTTTTTATTAATTTTATTTTAAATTTTAAAAATAAAAAATATATTTATATAAAATTTCAGATTTTAAGTGAATTTTTACAATTATATTTATATAAAAAAGTATTAAATTTCTCTAAGTATCTTTATTTATATAAAACTCTTAATCCTAACATAATCTGTACAGTCGTTCTTAATTATTTTAGTGATAGCTCAGTTACACTGGGTGTTGCTTCACATGTCATTCACAGGTTGGCTTCCACAGATTTTATTGAATTTGGACAGAATTATGATGTAACGGAAGAATTGGAAGAGCTAAAGAGGACAATTGAATCTATCAATGATGTGCTCCTTGATGCTGACCACAAACAAGATCAAATTCGTGTGCGAAATTGGATAATGCACTTCAAAGAAGTACTTCATCGCGCAGATGACTTGTTGGATGACCTTGCTATCGAATTTATGAAACACAGCTTAGATGAGGAACGAGAAAAAGTAGTCACAAAGATACTTTATCCCATTTCATCTTCAAATCTTATTGATTTTCCCATTCAAATGGCTGAAGAAATTAAAACAACACGAGAAAGTTTTGATGCTGTAGTAAAAGGTATGTATAATTTGAATTTATGCCCAAGATCTACGGTGGTCAAGCAAATTGACAGTGGATGGAGGGAAACGTGTTCTTTTGTGTCAGAGACAGATATCATTGGAAGAGATGATAGTAAAAAGGAGATTATTGGTCTGTTGAGACAACCTCATGAAAAGCAAAAAGTTTCTGTGATTGCCATTGTTGGCCTTGGTGGTTTGGGGAAGACAGCTCTTGCACAATTGGTGTATAATGACTTGGAAGTGCAGAATTTTTTTGAAATGAAAATGTGGGTGTGTGTCTCTGACAACTTTAACGTTAAAACTATTCTGAAGAAAATATTAGAATCAATTACGGATGGCCAAAGACAAGACCAATCATTAGAAAAGTTGCAAAAAGAGCTTCATAAAAGTTTAAGTGGTAAGAAATATTTGTTGGTCTTGGATGACATTTGGAATGAGAGTCATAAAAAGTGGGTTGAATTGAAAAGTTACTTGATGTGTGGTGCTCAAGATAGTAAGATTTTAGTCACAACTCGAAGTGAAATTGTAACAAAGACAATGACTAGCACTTCCTATCCTTTAAAAAGTTTGACTGAAGAAGAATCTTGGAGTTTGTTGAAGAACATTGCATTTGAGGATGATTTCAAAGGAGTGAATCAAAATCTAGAATCAATGGGGAAAGAAATAGCAAAAAAATGTAGAGGAGTTCCACTAGCAGTTAAAACTCTGGGAGGCCTGTTAAGAGGACAAAATAAAGAAAGTGAATGGGAAGATGTTTTACGCGGTGACTTCTGGAAAATATGTGAAGAGCAAGAAGATATCATGCCAATTCTAAGACTCAGTTACCTAAACTTGTCCCCAGAGATGAGACAATGTTTTGCTTACTGCTCTTTGTATCCCAAGGATTGGATAATTTTCAAGGATGAGTTGATTCAGTTATGGATGGCACAAGGTTACCTTCAATGTTCAACTGATAAACAACATATGGAAGATATTGGTAACCAATTTGTAAGGATGTTTTTGATGAACTCGTTCTTTCAAGAAGCGAGAAGTGAATATGGTGAGATCATTAGTTTCAAAATGCACGATTTAATGCATGATCTTGCAATGCTAGTAGCTGGCAATGATTATTGCTACTTGGATAATAAGGCAGCAAAAGTTGAAGGTAGACCCATGCACGTATCATTAGAATCTGAGGCCATCCATCTATTGGATTCATTGAATGCAAGCAGACTGCGAACCTTGATTGTCTGGTCTGATTCTTACACTGAGCAGGAATATTTGGAATATTTTTCTGTCATTTCAAATTTCAAATATTTACGTGTCTTGAAGATGTTGCCCTCTTCGTTTTGCATATTGCCTGATTCAGTTGGAAAATTGAAGCATTTAAGATATCTTGATTTGGGTCACCCATTTTACTCTTCCAGGACATTAGGACAAATAAGTCTTCCCAAATCCCTAAGCAATCTTATTCTCTTACAAACATTAAAATTTGTGGCATGCGAAGAAAAATCATTTTCTGAAGTGGTCTCAAAATTAGTCAATTTGAGATGTCTTGAAATTACTGACGATGAGGATGACCCCTTGAGTGGGATGGCAGTTGGGTTGGGAAAATTATGCTCTTTGCAATTCTTATCGACCTTTGTTGTGGGAGACAGCCAAGAAATAAAATATGGCACACTAAATGAACTGAAGAACTTAAACCTCAGAGGAGAATTAAAAATTAAGCATCTCGATAGGGTCAGAGACGTGGCTGTGGAATCACATGATGTAAATTTAAAAGAAAAAAAATTCCTTCATTCCTTGACTCTAGATTGGTTTGATACAAAGCATGGGGAAATTTGTAACAGTGACAGCAAACAATTATTAGAAAACCTTCAGCCCCACCACAATCTTAAGATATTGGAGGTGAATTATTACCCAGGCGTTGTTTTTCCAAATTGGCTTTCTCTCCTCACAAATGTTGTTAGTATCACTCTCTATGAGCTTACTAATTGCCACCGTCTCCCACCGTTGGAACGTCTCCCGTCTTTGAAGTCACTTGTGATCAAGTCTCTTTATGAATTGGAATACATATATCTCTATGAAGATGGTTTTGCAGTAACCTTCTTCCCCTCTTTGGAGAGCCTGACATTATTTGACAGTCCCAAGCTTAAGGGATGGTGTTGGCGTGGAGTCGATATCAATAATTCTAAAAATTCACATAATCTCTCCTTACCTCCTTTGTTTCCTCTTCTTTCTCAACTGGAAATCATTCAGTGTCCAAAGTTGACTTGCATGCCTGCTTTTCCAAACGTTGAGGTTTTAGATTTGATTTATTGCAGTGCGGAGCCATTTATAGCAACGCTGAACACAATGGTTTCAACGTGTTCACATGACTCATCTTCATCCGCTGCTCCTCTTACCATGCTCCAACAGTTAGGCATTTCTGATTCTGTGAACATAAAAGCTTTCCCAAAGGGTTGGATGCAAAAACTAACTTCTCTCGACTCTCTTGAAATTAAATTATGTGAAAGTGAAACACTTGAGGAATTTGCAAACGGGTTTAAGGACGACACCAACTGCCTTACCTCTCTGAGACAAATCACCATAAATTTGTGTGAAAACCTAAAGGCTTTGCCAGATTGGATTTGCAACCTCTCCTCGCTTCAGCATATCTCAATCTTGGATTGCCCAAAATTGGCATCGCTGACGGAAGGAATGAGTCGTCTTACCAACTTAAAGATCTTTGAGGTCAACTATTCTTCCCTCTTAATTAAAGAATGCAGAACAGAGACAAGTGCTGTTAGTCGCCAAATCGCATACATCCCACAAATTATTCTGAATGATTATGAAGGTATTGTTGCCCTTTTCTGTAAACTTGTTTCTATTGTTTAATTAGTTTGAGTTAGTATCCATTTATTAATGAATAAATATTCTATTACATTAATAAAATTAAATTAAAGAGTATTTTTTAACTGTTTAACGTCACACCCATTGGCACACTTTGTTTCGCTTGACATATTGCTTATTTAATTAGTATAATCATCACCTTTATCTTTTTCTATTATGATTTCATAATTTCTAGTTATGAACAGTTTGTGGAGACAATTCAAGAAAAAAAAAATTTCAACCTTAGTTCTGTATCTCTTATGTTCTAAAAATATTTCTCTGATATTACTTCTCAGGACTTGCTGAATAATAGACAAATGCAAGAGTATTTTCAGCAAGCTTACTTACAAGGTGGAGCAGCATGCTTAATTGATTCCTGGCCCTTGGTCCAACATATTGCCTTATATGTATTTGGATTTTAGAGATTTTTCCTATTCTACGTTATTCATATTCTACTAAGGTACATGTGATGGATACTCTCACGATTTTGAGAGTTTGCTGCTTAATCCCCCATCAAAGGAAAGTGTGAAAGTCTCAATCTGTATAACTTCTTCTCAACCTCACCTGCTTTGAAGGAGTAGGTTCTCCTTTAATTTTTACCCTTTTATCAAACATGAAAACTCCAATGTTTCTTATTTATTTTCCTTGTCTATTTTTTTTTTTTCAGCTACAGTAATAGAAAATGTTGATAGCATTATTTCGAGAGTTACCGCATCTCTGTAGATTTGGTTCCATTCAACCTTTTATCTATATCATAATTCTCAGCCTCAACTGGTGACTTGTTTGAAAGAAACGCAAGCAAGTGGAGTGCAATTGGTTTGGGATGGCGGAGTAGGTCCTGTGCAGAGATTCTTCTTGAGACACTGCTGGCTATTTCCTTGGGAGAATTTTTTAAGTCATTATGTGTCACTTGGACAGGTAAATATTATCGATTGATGATTTATTTCGGTTTTCTTTTACTGTGATGCTTTGGAGTCCATGTACAACGATTTTCTTTATTTGAATTATGTTATTAATTAATTTATTTGAGTAATTAATTACTAATGAAATAATAATCAAAGTATCAAACTATACCATAATTTACAACAAAATCATATATGTGATTGCTTTTTGATGAAAACAAGGAAAGAGTTTGAAAGACAACCAAAACTAAATTTTGGCTACATGTTCATCAGACTGTAAAATTCACTTTATGTTTTTCATTATTTGTTATGATTCTCACTGCTGTTCACTGTTAACAAGGATGTCTTTTCCTGCACCTTGAGTGCCTATTTTATACAAAGAATGCTTCTGGTAAAAAAAAAAAAAAGGCTAAGACCACTACTGGCTCAAAGATTTATGTTATTTTCAGATGCAGCAATGATGTTTTTCTTTCTCCAATCTGTTCTTTTGGAAAACATTATAAGAATGTTCTCATTTTTTTCACTACCTATGCTCCAATGTTTCTATTTCTTCATATCTTCCTATGAAATATTGGATGTGATCATTTCTTTTACTTCTTTGTTAAGTGGATATGTTTTTGTTGGACAACATTTTAAGATTAAAATTATAGAAAAAGGAATTATCTTATTTAGTATCCATTTTTTTCTCTTCTAAAAGCCTAGTATTTTAATATTAATAATCCAGAAAGGAAATTCCCGTTATATCATGTAATATAATATTTATAATCTAGATCATCTGATTAGTTATGGTATGGAGTTAATTGATATTAGTTAATTGTACAAATTATTGGTCTGCAACTCAGTAAATGAAATATATATAAAACCAGTCAGTTTTACAGTAATTGTTTCTCATTGCATATATTTTCTACAAAGAAAGGCAAAATGGAAGTTCAGGTATGTTATGAGTATTTATACCACAAATAGGTGTTCTTTTATATTTCCTTTTGCTCCAGATTGTTCTTCAAATCATGGAATCCAGCCCAATTTACGAAGATTATATTAGTAGTTGGTGCTCTACTAATGGTAGACTAATTAATGCCCACTTTTTATTTTTGTTTGGTGCATAGACTACCTATGGTTCAACCTAATGGTTATGGAAAAAACATAATTTGACCAATGATTTTGCATTACTATTATTCCAAAAGTGGTTATTATCAGAAGATGAAGGGTACAGTTAGCTCTTGCCAGTCCTTGCTTCTCCCAATGACCTTTCTTTTAATTCACTTAGTTATCAAGATATTTGTGTTATTCATGGTAATCCTTTTGTGACTACAACACAGAATGCGTAGTTTCACTCTGTTTTGTGTTGAAATTAAACTTTTTACTAGAGAAACATGAGTGGTATGAATCAAATTTTTAATTGTTTGGTCAAAGAGAACTTATATATTGTCAATAATTAAGTTACGATATCATTAATTGAAATACCTTATTCTTAATTTATTTATTCATAGAACTCATTGGAATTGCTTGATCTAGTAGCACATCCTCGATTTTACTAAACGATTAATTTATTAATATAGTTCTAAGTTAAAGTATAGTATTTGATTTTTGAGAAAAATTGGAATAGAATTAGCATGAGATGCTTTAGACAAAATTGTTAGGTATATTTTTAAGAAATTTTTAGTAATTTTTAATTTTAAAATTTTTAAGTTTCAAAAAGTGTCAATTTGTGTTGGTTAAAATTACTGTATAAAGTTAAAAATAATATTTTATTTTAAAAATAATAATAATAATAATAGTAAAAATTATAAAAATTTTATATTTTATTTATAAATATTATTTGGAATATAAAAATAATTTTTTTTGTAATTAATGAATATTTTTGGATTTTCTGGTTAATTTTAAGTAAATTAGTTATATGCTCAAGCAAGAATTGTGTGTAAAAATTTTGGACACCAACTAAAGGATCAATAGTGTCAAAAATTATTTTATAGTTATGTTTAATATATTTCATGATTATTTTTAAATTTTGAGATTTTTATCTAATTGTTTCAATTAATTACAAAAAATTAGTGAAAATTCTAGAGTACTGTTAACTTTTGAAGGAAATGGTATTTTTGATAATCATGGGTCTAGGAAGAAAGCTTGTGAGGTCATTTTTGTTATTGTTGTCTCTGATATCGTGACTCCACTTTATTTTGTATGTAAATCAGCTATGTACATATGTTTATATGACTGGATGACTGTATATTTTGACAGATGATATGTATATATGTATTTGGATAACTGGTGCAAATGGTGTATTTAGTTTCTATTAATGTAAACAGACGTAAACTCATACATGTGACTTTCTTACTACTTGGATTATTTTAATATTATATTTATATTAATAGCGTAATAAGTAGTAAGGGTGTCACAGAGTGCACATAGTTAGATATGGCTACATTATTGTTGTTGCTTAACAAGTAAAATTGTATTAGAAGCTCAATTATTTACAGCTTAAGATAACATGCTTGTCATTAGCAAAACAACACTTCAAGATTTGATATGTTAAAAGGAAGTGTTGTTACTTCATCATTTGAAATTGAGTTGATTATTATACCCTAAGTCTCATAGGATTCTAGGCAACAAGGAGTCATTCTCTATTCTGAACAGGTTTTTAATGCTCGAGCTTGTAAGTCATTCTATGATGCTTTTTTACCTTTTTAAGTTAGTCCCTTTTATTTTTTCTATTGTTCAAGAATAGATTTGGTGTAACATCCTATATTTTGATTTAAATAAAATGAGATTTGTTAAAGTATAATTGGAATAGATTTGGATAGAATTTATTTTAAAAAAAAAAAAAAAAAGTGAACAGTAAAACTCCCTATGAACAGTGTCGATGAACAGTAAACCGCGTATGAACAGTGAAACCGCCTTTGTACAGTGACGATGACGTCATCAATGACATCAGCATGACGTCACATCCGCGTACAGTACGCGTACAATCCGTGTACAGTACGTGTGCACAGTGTTTCCGGCGTGAACAGTTACCGCGAACAATGTTTCCGCCATGAACAGTAAGGCGGTGAACAGTGTTCCGGCGGTGAACAGTAAATTCGGCGATGAACAGTAACTTCGAAAATTTTCTATAAAAAGGGGGTTGCAGACGAAATTTTCATTTCTTCACTCCTATCCAAGGTTCTCAAAGGTTCTAAAGTCATATCTCGCCATTTTCTCCCATACTAAACCTCCTAAACTTAGATTTTTCTTCAGATCTGTGATTCTACGTTCGATCTAAAGGATTACAAGAAAACCCCCGTTCTAGAGTTAAACCTTCGGTTAAATCCTTGTAAAAGCTCTGTTTTGAGGTAAGGGGGGCTCTACTTTATCATTTCGTTATGTTTATTACTTGTATTCTCATAGATCTTGTCATGTATGTAATTATATGTGAAATAATCCCTGTTTTATGAGAAATAATCGGTGAAAAGTGAGAATAATTAGTTGTTTATGTGATTTTATGATGAGTACATGGTGAAATTGGGATATTATGTTCAAATAGGGCATGATAAGGTATATTGAGGATGGTTGATATGATTTTATGATTTTGTGATATAAAATATACGAAGAGATGGATGTTTCATGTTTGAATATATTGTGTTTTATGTAAAAATGATGTGTATTGTGAATGTGCCATGGTTTGATGTATATGATGAAAAGTATGTGGAAATATAATGAAAAATATGTGTAAACATGATAAATGGCATATGTGAACATGTGAATATGCTCAAAAGAGTATGAGATGGAAAAAGATATGATGTAAATAGTTACAGAGATACACTAGGGAAGTGGAAGATGGAGACGATATGGGATATCTTGGGGAAATGCAGGGTGGTGAGTGACATTCGGGATTGTGCACGGAATATTGTGTTCGAATGCACCACATGGCCACACACTCATTTCTCGACTTGACTCCTGACCATTACCTTTGCTAAGGGGCCGTCTATTGCATGCGTTGTATCCGTATTGCATTGGGCCATCCGGCGACTATTTACATGAATGTGTAAGACCTCGAGATAGAGGCATCGGATAACTGTGGCCACAGGGCGCGGTAAGCGCGGATAAAAGTAAAAGAAATTGTGAATATGTGTAATGTAATGCGCGTTGAGATGAGAATATGCTTTATATAACTTTGTGATATGTAATGCCATGATGTTTTCGTTAATCGTGATAAGATGTGTTTTGTGAAGAATGTATATGTTATGTATGACTGGTAGGGTAGAGACTCACCCTTACACAACATTTTTCAGGAAACCAGGACGAATAGTACCAGGCTCACAGTGCATGGATGGATGAAAACTGCTATAGAACTTAGTTATTTTGAGTTATGTAATGAATATTTTCAGTTCTATAGCGTTCTTTTGAAAATGTTGTAAAACTACTATTCCTCTTTATTGCTGATGAAAACTTTAGAATCTTTGTTTTCCTAAAGTACTTATGAATTAATGAAATTTTACTCTATGAACCTTATATCATTTCAATGTCTTTTCCTTATTAGAAAGTTTTGAAGGAAAATTTACTTTACCATATTAATTTTTATGAAAATTTATCATGTATTGAGGAAAGAAATATAAGGTGTTACAATTTTGGTATCAGAGCAGTTCATCCAGACCAGACTGGGGTATGGGACTAACATGTCTATGTTGTGTAATAGATATACTAGAATATGAAATGATTATTTGCTAATATGACTTGTTAGATGTGAATTACGTGAACTAGATCTATCTATGATAGATTAATAATTGATTTGAGTTTATTGCATGATTAGAGCTATGGCTGCTAGAGGTAGACCTGCTGGTGCTACAAATGAACTCCTGGAGCGCATGACCCAAGTCTTAGAGACTTTGGCACATAACCAGGAGGCTGAACCAGCCGAGTATAGAGGACTTTCTTCTTTTACTAGGCATAACCCTCTGAAATTTGAGGGAAAGTTTGATCCTGAGGGAGCTCAGAGATGAATAGCAAATGTGGAGAAGATTTTTCATGCCATGGGATGTAGAGAGGAGCATAAGGTAACTTATGCTACTTATATGCTGAGTGGAGAAGCTGAGGACTGGTGGAGATTTGCTAGTCAAACTCTACTGCAAGAAGATGGTTATATTCCTTGGGAGACATTTAAGGCAACTTTCTTGGGAAATTATTTCCCTAGAGATTTAAAGAAACAGAAGGCTAGGGAGTTCCTTGAGTTGAAACAAGGAAACATGTCTGTAGGTGAATATGCTGCTAAATTTCATGAATTGATGAAATACTGGCCTCACTATCAACATAATGATGGAGAGGAAGATCTATGTGCTCAATTTGAACATGGGCTTAGGCCAGATATTCGAGCTGCTATTAGTGTATTCCAGCTGACAGATTTACCCACTCTAGTGAGTAAATGCAGAATATTTGAAGCCAATACTAAGGGTAAGACAGTGGATACCAGAATCGGTGGTCCTGTGAGGCAAGACCAAAGGCCTCCAAGATTTTCTAGAGGACCTTACTCTAGTCCAAATCAGTCTCAAGTGAAGGGGACTGTATCTCAAGAAGATAGTAGTGGTGGTTCAGGTTCTTTCAGAAGGCCACTAAAATGTTTCAAGTGTGGTGGACCTCATATTAAAAAGAATTGTCCTCAACTTCCACCAACATGTGACATTTGTGGGAAAATGGGACACTCTGCTAGTGTCTGTTGGTCTGCTCCACAAAAGAGCGGAAGCATGAGTGTGGAACAAAGACCTGAATCTAGAGCAAGCACTGGAACAAAGCCAAATGTGAAGGGCAAAGTTTTTGCTATGAGTGGAGCCGAGGCTTCAAAATCAGAGGAGCTTATTAGAGGTAAATGTATCATAAAAGACCGACTTGTAGATGTGTTGTTTGATTCTGGTGCTACTCATTCCTTTATTTCTGTGTATTGTATGAGATGTCTAGAATTACCTGTATCTGAATTGTTTTGTGATGTTATTGTATCTACTCCTACGGGTAAGCCTGTAGCAACTTCTTCTGTGTGTTTAGGTTGTCCTGTGATGGTACATGGTAGGAGTTTTAGTATAGATTTGATTTGTTTACCTCTTTCCTAACTTGATGTAATTTTGGGAATGGATTGGTTGTCATCCAACCATGTTCTATTGGACTGTAAAGAGAAAGTCTTGATTTTTGGCACTAAAGTATCAGAAAGTGCCAAACTCTTAGGTCCAGATCCATTGGAAAATGTAATGAGTGCTAAGGCTTTCATGGTTCTATTTTCAATTGAGACTGAAAAGGAAATGAAGCCTGAGTATATCCCAGTGGTTAGAGATTTTTTAGAAGTTTTCCCTGATGATGTTACTGAATTGCCACCGGAAAGAGAGATTGAGTTTACTATTGATCTCATTCCGAGAGCAAATCCTATTTCTGTTGCACCATATAGGATGTCACCAGTGGAGTTGGCTGAGGTAAAGAAACAGGTAGAAGAATTATTGCAGAAAAGGTTTATAAGGCCAAGTGTGTCACCTTGGGGAGCACCTGTTCTTTTGGTGAAAAAGAAAGATGGGAGCATGAGGATGTGTGTTGATTATAGGCAATTGAATAAGGTAACAATAAAGAACAAGTATCCTATTCCTCGAATTGATGACTTGATTGATCAGTTACGAGGAGCTTCTGTATTTTCAAAGATTGATCTGCGATCTGGTTATCATCAGATCAGAGTCAAGAGTGAGGATATTCCCAAGACAGCGTTTAGAACCCGATATGGCCACTATGAGTATCTAGTTATGCCATTTGGTGTGACTAATGCTCCTGCAGTATTCATGGACTATATGAATAGAATTTTTCATGAGTTTTTGGATAAATTTGTTGTAGTATTTATAGATGATATTCTGATTTATTCTAAGACTCATGAAGAACATGCAGAACACTTGAGAATTGTTTTGCAAATACTAAGAGAAAGACAGTTGTATGCAAAATTCTCTAAGTGTGAATTTTGGTTACCACAAATCCAATTTTTGGGACATGTGGTATCGAAAGATGGCATTATGGTGGATCCAGTAAAGGTGGAGGCAGTGGCTCAATGGCCAAGGCCTACTAATCCCACAGAAATTCGCAGTTTTCTGGGACTAGCTGGCTATTATAGGAAATTCATTGTAAGATTTTCTAAAATAGCTTTTCCTTTGACGAAGTTAACAAGAAAAGGAAAGGAGTTTGTGTGGAATGAAGAGTGTGAAGCTAGTTTCCAAAAGCTGAAAGAAAAGTTAACATCTGCCCCTGTCTTAGTCTTGCCTAATCCAGAACAGAAATTTGATGTGTATTGTGATGCATCTGGGCAAGGGCTTGGTTGTGTCTTGATGCAGGATGGAAGGGTAGTTGCTTATGCTTCGAGGCAGTTGCGTCCTCATGAAGTTAATTATCCTACTCATGACCTAGAATTAGCCGCGGTGGTTTTTGCCCTTAAGATATGGAGACATTATCTATTTGGGGCGAAATTTGAGGTATTTAGTGATCACAAGAGTTTGAAGTACTTGTTTGATCAGAAAGAGCTAAATATGAGGCAGAGAAGGTGGATGGAATTTCTGAAGGATTATGATTTTACATTGTCTTATCATCATGGGAAGGCAAATGTGGTTGCTGATGCTTTAAGTAGGAAGTCTTTGCATATGGCAAGTATGATGGTGAAAGAATTTGAGTTGATTGAGAAGTTTCGAGATATGAATTTGGCAGTAGAGGTGCGACCTCAGAGTTTGTATCTTGGGACTTTGATAATCAACAATGATTTCTTAGTTAGGGTTCGTGATGCCCAACAAGAAGATATATTCTTGCAAGAAATGATGAGGCAGAGGGGTGAAGGAAAGGATTTGGAGTTCCATTGTGATGCAAATGGATTGATTAAGTTCAAAAACCGTGTATGTATTCCTTCCAATAATGAGCTTAAGCAGATGATACTTGAGGAGGCGCATAAAAGCAGAATGAGTTTTCATCCTGGTGCGACAAAAATGTATCAAGATCTTCGTAAGAATTTTTGGTGGAATAGAATGAAGAAGGATGTGGCTGAGTATGTAGCAAAGTGTTTAACTTGTCAAAAGGCGAAGGTAGAACATCAACGTTCACCTGGGATGTTGCAGCCATTAGAAATTCCTGAGTGGAAGTGGGATAGTATTTCTATGGATTTTGTGTCTGGTTTGCCAAGAACCAAGAGTAATCATGATGCAATTTGGGTGATAGTAGATAGATTGACTAAAGCAGCTCATTTTCTTTCCATTAATATGAAGTACAAGTTGGAGAAGCTAGCAGATATGTATGTGAGAGAGATAGTCAGATTGCATGGAGTGCAACCAGTGTTGTGTCAGATAGAGATCCAAGGTTTACATCGAGATTTTGGGAGAGTCTGCAAAAAGCCTTGGGTACTAAGTTAAAACTTAGTTCAGCTTATCATCTACAAACTGATGGTCAGACTGAAAGAACAATACAGTCCTTGGAGGATTTGTTGAGAGCTTGTGTGATGGAACAACAAGGAACTTGGGAGGAATGTCTACCGTTGGTGGAATTCACGTATAATAACAGTTATCATGCAAGCATTGGAATGGCTCCATTTGAGGCTCTGTATGGAAGAAAGTGTAGAACCCCTTTATGTTGGTATGAAACTGGAGAGGCAATCCTATATGCGCCAGATATGGTTCAGAAGCAACATGAGCAAATCAAATTGATCAGAGAAAAGATGAAAATAGCACAAGATAGGCAAAGGAGTTACTATGATAAGAGGAGAAAACCTTTGGAGTTTCAGGTGAGTGATCATGTGTTTTTGAAAGTTTAACCTATAACTGGAGTTGGAAGAGCTTTAAAATCCAAGAAGTTATCTCCTAAGTTTATTGGGCCATTTGAAGTGCTAAGTAAAGTTGGTCCTGTTGCTTATGAAATTGCTTTGCCTCCAAATCTCTCAAACTTGCATCCTGTATTTCATGTATCTCAGCTTAGGAAATATATTCCTGACCCTACTCATGTTATAGAACTTGATCCTGTTCAAGTGAGAGAGAATTTGTCCTATGATGTACAACCGGTGAAAATTATTGATCATCGTGTTAAGAAATTAAGGGATAAGGATATTTCATTAGTTAAAGTAGTATGGAGTACTAGTGATGAGGGAGATGCTACATGGGAAACTGAGAATAAGATGAGAGAATTATATCCTGATCTTTTTGTAACTTAGCGAATTTCGGGGACGAAATTCCTTAAAGGAGGGGAGAATTGTAACATCCTATATTTTGATTTAAATAAAATGAGGTTTGTTAAAGTATAATTGGAATAGATTTGGATAGAATTTATTTAAAAAAAAAAAAAAAAAAGTGAACAGTAAAACCGCCTATGAACAGTGTCGATGAACAGTAAACCGCATATGAACAGTGAAACCGCCTTTGTATAGTGACGATGACGTCATCAATGACATCAGCATGACGTCACAATCCGTGTACAGTACGTGTGCACAGTGTTTCCGGCGTGAACAGTTACCGCGAACAGTGTTTCCGCCATGAACAGTATGGCGGTGAACAGTGTTCCGGCGGTGAACAGTAAATTCGGCGGTGAACAGTAACTTCGAAAATTTTCTATAAAAAGGGGGTTGCAGACGGAATTTTCATTTCTTCACTCCTATCCAAGGTTCTCAAAGGTTCTAAAGTCATATCTCGCCATTTTCTCCCATACTAAACCTCCTAAACTTAGATTTTTCTTCAGATCTGTGATTCTACGTTCGATCTAAAGGATTACAAGAAAACCCCCGTTCTAGAGTTAAACCTTCGGTTAAATCCTTGTAAAAGCTCTGTTTTGAGGTAAGGGGGGCTCTACTTTATCATTTCGTTATGTTTATTACTTGTATTCTCATAGATCTTGTCATGTATGTAATTATATATGAAATAATCCCTGTTTTATGAGAAATAATCGGTGAAAAGTGAGAATAATTAGTTGTTTATGTGATTTTATGATGAGTACATGGTGAAATTGGGATATTATGTTCAAA